ATCATAATTATGTTGCGGAATCTAAATTCTCCTAAATTGTGTAATGGTACACGATTGTCCGTCAAGAAACTGATGAACAATGTAATACAATCAACGATAATCAAGGGCAATTTCAAAGGGGAGGAAGTCCTTATCCCACGAATTCCGATCAGTCCAACACATCTTCCATTTAAGTTTAAGCGGATTCAGTTTCCCGTTAGATTGGYTTTTGCGATGACAACCAATAAATCGCAAGGCCAATCGTTGGAAGTCTGTGGGATCAATTTGGAATTTCCATGTTTTTCGCACGGGCAGCTGTACGTTGCCAGTTCGCGTGTTGGAAAACCGTCATCGTTGTTTATTTTTGCACCAGAAAACAAAACCAAAAACATTGTTTATCAAAATGCAATATATTGATTTCTGTAACAATTCATTACAATGGAATACTTGAATTTTATTATCAATCTWGACTTTATTTGAAGGCGTTAAGTTCACCGGGTCAAMTTAATTTTWAAAAAAAATTWAGGCAAAACAACGTTTGCCGGGTCAGCTAGTATAGATATAAAATTGTAAGGGTTTTTCTTATACCGCGCTATCCGAGAAAACTACTGAACCAATTTGGCTGAAACCCGACACTCTGCTGAAAGTTTTAGTACCACTTTTGTCAATAAAAAAAAAGTATAAAGTTCATAAAAAATCAAAAACAGAATCACAGTAGTGGCGCCCTCTTTCGGCCAAAAATATACTAAACATTTTTAGTTGTTATGGTTCTATAGGTTGAAGTTGTTCTTACATAAAATGGAAACATATGGTAAACATATTGTATGACATATAGTTACTATTGGTTACTGATTCATAGAAACCGAATAGTATGTTTTTTTTTTCATATTATTATTATTATAAATGTGCCATAAATCTTTTTGTTAAATAGTTTGTGCTTAGTTTGATAAAATATAATTGTTTTTACTTATCATGCTGAGAGCGTCAAGAGCTCGCATTGGAAGAACTGCCAATGCAACTCGAATGTATAACAGAATTCAACAAGATATCACACCAGTACGTTCTCAAACACTTGCACAGGAGCAACGTAACGCTTTGAGTATGAAATCAGCGTTTAATTATCAATCCGAGATTGATTATTTAAATATTAAAGMGCTTCAAATWGKACSAATRACTATRTTATGTCCTAAGTGCCATGCAAAAAAATGGAAAAATGAAACCCATGGACTTTGCAGCGCTGACGGTAAAGTTGTTTTACACCAATTTGAGGATCTTCCAGACTTAATTAAAAGTTTAACTGATAATTCTCACCCTCTATCAAAACATTTCCTTGATAATTCAAGACGGTTTCAAATGACATCGTTTGGAGCAAACGAATAGCTGAAGGGAACAGGGAAGTGCATCATTTAATAGGTACTTTATTACCCGAAATTAGAAATAATGCTAAATTTTTACAAATATATTTTATGTCAGAGTCGGATCATATATCTATTCGAACAAATATGATTCCAAATTTAAAAAGAGGTCTCATTGAATCATTGCAAACAGTTTTGTGTGAAAATAATCACCTCATACAGAGCTTCAGATCTAATCTAGAGTCAAGGTCCTTTGATGAGTTTCAAAACTTTAATTTAATTATTCAAGCTGACAGAGTTCCTGAAGATGAACATAGAGGTCAGTATAATGCACCTACCATCGATGAAGTAGCTGTATTATTAGTAAATGAAGATAAAGGTCCCAGAGATATAGTTCTGAACGGTCGGGGTGGACACTTGAGACGAGTTTCAGAATTGAATAGATATTATGATACACTACAATATCCGTTAATGTATATTAGAGGTGAAGACGGATATCTCATTAATATTACACAAAATCAACGAACAAAAACTGTCTCCTGCATGCAATTTTATTCTTATAGGATTATGGTTAGACAAACAAGTCTAAATCATCTACATTATTAATAAACATTATTCAGCTAATTCGCTGTAGATATGTTTGCAAAAATGATTTCTGAAAGACTACACTTTACCATCAAAAACAACTACGTGCRGATGATTATGTTCACCTCCCAGATTATGTTAACAATAATGTAAATATTAATGCTAATAACGTKGGGCAACAAGTAATTCTTCCCTCCTCTTTTACTGGCTCCACACGTTACATGCATGAAAAAAATCAGGATCCATGACTTATGTTCGTAAATTTGGCCGTCCAAATTTATTTATTACTTTCACATGCAATCCGGAATGGCCGGAAACAAGTCGTTTGATAGACACGATATAATCTCTAGAGTTTTTCATCTCAAACTAAAAAAAGGTGGGTAAGTCGTGGATGTCGCTCTGCTGTACAGTAGGTTACAAGTGGGTCACTRTAATGGATGGAATTAAATTTGAATCCAATGATATTATATCATTGTATACGAAAAACGGTAGGCACGTAAAACGGTTTTATTATTATAAAAAAAATTGTTACTTTTCGTATATTTTGTTATTGTATTTATTTCTAATAACATAAACGTGCGTTATTAGAAAACTATGAACTAATCAGTCAAAAATAATACAAATAAACAAATGKTTACGAAAAATAACAGATACTTTATATTCACACTCAGTCTACCGCATAAGTAAAAAATATTTAATAAAAAAAATGGGTATAATAAAATAATATAAAATAAAAATTTGGGAAAAAATTATATAAAATATTCGAATAGATATCGAAAAATATTCATTGAAAAAATCGTTATAGGTAATAAAATAATATAAATAATTTAAATTTTAAATCCCTGATACCTAGTTTTAATTACAGCTAAATACTTAAGTAAGTTTTCTGGTGTTTTAATTATTAGATATTCTTCGTATTGTTTAGGTACTCATAAATTTGATTTTCTATAGCTCTTCCTTTGATTTTGGCTAAATTATTCCTTTGGAAATGGTTGATAATTTAGTGACGGTTTCTGCCTGAGTTTCCATAAGGGTACTTAACAACAAATTTCGGTGGATGAGCCCTAGTAAACTGGGCGTTATATGTTCTATGGAAACTTTCAGCCTCGTTTGTAGCTAAAACATGAACACAACTGAYATTTCAGTATAAATACGTATAGACATACAATGCGAGATCATAGTTTAGGTATATTGGTATATGTAAGGGAATTTAGGCAACGTTGCTTAGAAGCAAAAATAATTAATCGTATACCTAAAAAGGTACCGTTGATAAGGACCACGCGTAATATCCTATAGCAGCCTTACAAAGAGATGTTCAGTACGTGTCTTATAAGTAACATCATTGAAGTACAAATACGATCCAAGGGATATTTTCAATACATTGATGGAACAAAATTTGTAATAATACATGTTTCATAGCAACAGCTCAGAAACGTTAGTGGTACAAATTATTGCACAATGGATACAGGTTTGTTTAATAAAACCTAGATTTCTAAATGCTTTTACACACATGGTTTCGATGTGCCATTTAAAACTCAAGTCAGATGACTAAATTATATAGAGATCTATGACCCCATTTACAACATTAATTTTAATGCCAGCTTGGTTATTATGATAGTCAAAGTTTGGGCGTTTGTGATGGAGTTATATTTGCATACATTTATTCATATTTAAATGTAATCAATTATCTGAACACCATGTGGAAAATCAATCAAGGTGTTGTTGTAAAATATATTTATATATCGTCAGGAATAACAGGAATTGACTGTGTTTAAATACTTTATTTATATCATTTATGAACACTAAAAATAAGAAAGGCGATAAAAGACCTAGAATCACACCATACGACACTGAAAGTGGTTTAGATTTAAAGTTTCAACATTAAGAATTGTTATTACTTGAATGCATTCTAATAGTTAAGATGACAGCCAGAATAATATGTTATCATGTACGCCTATATTATTTAGTTTGTGAATTAAGATTTTATGTTTTGCCAAATCAAATACTTTTTTTTGTCAGCATAGTAAACTTGGCTTCCGTTAGATACAGAATTGACTAAGTGTGAATAAAGAACATTTAAATAAATATCCACAGATTTTTATATTCTAAAACCCCGTTGATTATCAAAAACAAAAAAAAAAAAACATTGGTAGATAATTTTTGCTCAACTAGTTTTTTAAATAATTTTGGTAATGAACTTATGTAGCTTAATGACTAGTCGATATTTGGAAAATTCGGCTTTGATTCCAAATTTCTAAATTGGAATGTTGAAACTTTGTTTCCACATTTTCCGAAATATGGCTGAATTCTGATAATAGAAATAATTTGTGAATAGAAATTTTTAATGCATAAAGACATTCATAAATAGAGAAGTGGTGAGAACCTAACCTAACGCACGCAGTCGCCGGTTCAAATCTCGGTCACGGGTGGCATCGCTCTTTGGACATTTCGCGGTGTCTGGAGAGAGTGGCCGCCGGCCCCCAACCGGGCATGGCAGAAACCCACGGGTGCCCATTCAAAATTCTGCCAAAAACCCACGTATTAAAACCTACAGTACCTTCCCCTACAGTTCCCCAGGCTAATGATCTCAGTTGTCGAAGCCCTAGCCCTAAAAAAAAAAAACATGATCATTACCTAAGGAATATAAACCATTAAAAATTTCACTAGAAGATAAATCACAATCAAAAATGTTTGTTTCATTATTTTCAAGATTATCTGATCGAAGAATACATTTTTAAGGTATGGTGTATAATGAAAAAAAATAGTCGTTAAACATATATGAAATTTTGACGGGGTTACAGAAATTTATAGTACTATAATTTATAAGACTGGAGAGAACTTTAGTTTAATCCCTATTTCCTTTCAATTTTAAATTAATATAATTTCAATATCTATGTATCATATTATTATACTTTTAGTTAGAATTAAAATTATTTAGTTTAAATTTTTGAAACTCATAAAATATTATTTTGATGAATTTTTAAATATTTTTAACTAATTAAAAAAGTGCATTTGTAATAAATAACTAAACACTATAAACATAAGTAAAATATTATATTTTTGTTTTATTTTCTAACACAGGAGACGACTTGATTACACCTGTCTATGTACCTCCAACAGTTGTACCACCACCATCATTAGTAACTGAAGTCCCTGGAGCGTGCGATGACGAAGAAACCGATTGTATTACGGGTTCTGGATTTGGACCTACGTCTTCTACTGACGATTCAGCCACTACCATAAAAAGTATACATTTTATTTATTTATTAATAAAATTGCTGTATATCATAATTTATTTGTTTAACAGAATTAGTGATCATAAATAGATGGATAAAAAAAATTAAGAAATCMTCTATAACGTAAAAACAAATTTTATAATATTTAATCGCATGCTATTTAAATATTACAATAATACTATATATATGGTATATATATATGTTTACCAACATTTTTCTAGAATAAAATAATATTTTATTTATGAATTATATTAGTGGTATAAAATATGAATTTCTAAATGATAAAACTAAAACATTTTTTTTTTATTATTTAACCTCTTTCCTTATACCGAGACTACACTTGGCTTGTCTGTGCTGGTGGATAAACTAATCATAAATCATATTATTTGAAACGTATTTACAGAAAAAGTGTACATACGAATGTCGCAGTCACCGACATATTATCTTATAATAAACGATAGTATATTAAATATTAGTCTAATTATACATCTTATGATGTATGGCAAATAATACTGTGCGCATATTATTATAACAATCTTGATATCGTTTGTTTTAGGCTCAAATCCGGTGATGACGACTTTCAACGGCGTTACCAACTGGACGAGCTCATCGGTTAACCGATCCACAGGGGTGGAAAAACAGTTAACAAACAAGACAGGTGTTGTAGCTACAGTGAGTTCCACGGTCCCGTCTACCAATCAAACGAATCCGTACTGGTCGTCAGTTGCCACGACCACCGCGACAAAAACAGCAACGCGCTACAGGGTTCCCGGTATCGCGGTAACCACGACCGCGACCACGGTGAAGAATACGAGCAATTTGGATGGTGTATCGTCATCTAGAGGCCATGAAAAATCAACCAGCGCAGGAATCGGAACTGTAGACATTACCACAAGCACTACCAGCACCTCGACGCACTCGACATTCTTCGACAGCGACAAGCAGACGAACGTGAATTCGGGTGGCGGTGGTTATGAATATGGTGGTGGTAACCGTTATGGTGGTGGTTACGATGAACGTGACGGCGAGACGATGATGACCACGCCAAACGTGGTGTTCAGCGGCGATCATTTCCCGCCGGCGGCCAAACCAACACCACCCAAGCACGCCGAGCCACCGATCAACACGAAGGCAGCCGAAAGCACAGCTTTTGTAGTGCTAGTCACGGCCGCCACGCTCATCATCATCGTGCTCATCATACTCCTCGTGCTCAAAGTCAAGTACAGGACCGACACGAACAGGTATTGCAATTAAAACGAAATATTAACACAATACAATATTATGTGGTAGGGTACATAGTAAAACAGGTTTAACTTTAATCAAACATTAAATATTGGAGTACCCTGCTGTATTGTTGAAAAAAACTGTATGGAGTTATTGGAAATGGGGTGTGCGCATTTGGATTAAGATTGCAGAGAACAAACACGTTCCACTGAATTAAATAGTATATTTGCAAAATCGTACAACTAAACAATTTTTAGATTATTGTTTTTAAATAATGTTTGTTCCTTAATTTAGAAACCTTTTAGATATCTTGATATATATTTATGAAAAAATGAATATAACTTTTTTTTATTGATCATATTAAGCTTAATAKCCATGGTCATTAGTTGTTTGTAGGGGGAAATGGTAGGTTTGAAACACGTGTTGTATATCTGGCAAGGATTAGTTGCTAAAAACCCGGATGGTCAACCATACGAGAGATAGCAACAATGGTCTGTGCGCATACTCAGAGTGTTCCCACAGTTGAGCGTACGACCGAGCCACACGAAGGCACTGAATATAAATAATTATGAGTATACATATTGAGGAATGTGTTCATTTATACATTTGACCAGTGCACAATATACCTTAATAGGTTCATAATTGTACATAATTGTATGTTGGGTAGTATGTAATACATTAAATCATTCTCACTTTTTTATTCAAGAAGATGTTAGTGATATAGTACCTATTTATCTTTTCATTTTTACCTACGTGCAACACACCAAATTGTCGTTCTGCAGAATCAAAGTTATATCATCAGCTTTAGTATATTATTGACTGAATTGGCCAACTATTAAACATAAAKTTAAGAACACTATTTGTATTAATTGTTTGTTTGTGTTTTAACAACATTTTTATTTTTATACCAGTTATATTTCCAGAAAGTGTTTCATTTTTCTAAACCATTGAACTCAAATATGATATTATACATATTGCATGTTGGTCAGAAATATAAAATTAATAGTACGCTGACATAATTGTATGTAAATCTGGAAAGTCTGGTGAAAAATAAAAGAGCATCGGACATATTTAAGATCAACGAAATAGCATAATCAGAATAAAAATCCCCWACTTACCGGATAACGTATTACGTRGAGTTCAAATTTTAATCAGATACCTGACACATAACACGTGGCATTATTAATTTTTATACAACTTACAGCCTGGTATTATTATCATCCTGCATTATCGATCTAAATTATTATGAACTATTCCGTACATTGTATTACTTTCTAATTTATATTATAAATACTACTCTCTAGCTGATGCCATGCACTTCATTACCCGTTAAAAATGTATTTTATAAAAAAGTTATATTTTTATTTTATTGGATAGATGACGCCACTAGTTAATTCTGCCTCTTGGATCTATGTCGAAGAGCTTATAAATAAAGATATTAATAACAATAATACATTTATAGTAATTAAAAACACAGATGGCTTCACTGCTTACTAACTGCTGAGTCCTGCAAATGCCCTTTGTGTTGAAATGAAACGACGAACGTTTTCGGTAAAATTGTTGTGGGAAAGAGAGGTCCAACCAGCACTATTTTATCAGGGTATAGACGCTGTGTGTAATGGCAAAATCTGGTGACTGTGGCCTTGAACACGGTCTTTAGGAAGGCGTGGCATGCATTATCACTTAAATAAATCATATCATTATTATCACACAAAAAGAGACAGAACTGATATAGTGTTTTGTAATGCCCATTGGCCATATTTGCGTTGTTTGGTTGTTTCCGTTTTTATAATTCCGTAACTAAGAGGGATACACGTTGCTAACATTCCATCAGATTACGAATACGGTACCTACAATATCTAATACTTCAACCGTAGGGATACAGTAACCTGATCAGCTGATCGAGTGTCTATTCTATAATGGTCTGTGATTTTATGCAGCAAACTCCTATAGTATATATATATATTATTTATAGGTACAAAATCGAAATGCCCAAAGCTTACGGCGCGCCCATCGAACAGGGCTCGGACAGGGGTGGCTTATGTCACCAGCAGCAGCACAATCTCCATCACCAACAGCAAGCCAACCTTCTGTCACCGGGCAACTATCCGTCGTCGGCGCAATCGTCGCCAACGTACGCGCATAACAACTTCAGGCCCCACAGTGGCGGAAGTGGCGTCGGTGGCATCGTCGGAGTGAGCAACAAGCCCAAGAAGAGACAGGACGTCAAAGAGTGGTACGTGTGAGGCGGTCAGGCGTACACATGCCGTACGCTCACCGCCGTTCCCATACGGCACTGCTCGGAAAACAATAATGATAATAATACTCCCAAATATTATTATACATACGACCTACTATTATGTATATAAGTGTACGATAATGTTATCATTTAGGTACCTACTTTATATTATTATTATTGTGTAATTTGTAAGTGTACATAATAGTAGGTATGTATAGTGGAATATGTAGCAGATGTAATGATGTAAATATTTTATTTCGTAAGTCCCGACGTACGGAAACTGATTGTATTTGCATTGTTAGCGATAGCAGCACGTGGTATCTATATAATATTATGTGTACCACTTACAACCATACTATTATACCACGCGCATTATAAACACGTAGGTAGGTACCTACTTACCGTAAACTTTACCCGCTAACTAGTTGCCTACTAAAAAAATATATTGTTTGTGGAATATGATAATATAATATTTATTATATTCATCACTAACTATGTATTTGTGTTATGGGTGTTAATGGGTATTGTAACTATTTACGCGGAGATCGAAAAAAAAAAATCCGTCRATCACGTCAAAAATCGTCTGCAAGACCAAATTATAACGGTTACTAGGTACCTACCGACGGGATTTTGTTGTTTTTTAAATATTTAAAATTTTTAAAATTATTTGCTTGGCCGTACGATTGGATAAAATTAAACATATTATTTTAATTAATATTAGATGCGTGTAATTTTTAAGTTATTTGTATTGTATCTGTTTTTCACTTATTACTATTTGTGTCATTATTCTTCCATCAGTTCCATCATCCACGATGTACATATATTGTGTACCTACTAATCGATTAAATTGTATATGTATTATTATGACTAGGGTTAAAATGTTTATGGCCTTAATAGCACTAAAAAAATATTTTAATATAATTAAATATTAATATTAGAATATTAGAATATTAGAATCTCTGGTATGATCTACTCCTAAAAAATTGAAACATTATATAAAAAAGGCGTTATTCAATCATAATACAATACATATTATTATACATTTTTAACAGCTCTCAAGGTACCTAAGCCATACACATTAAACGTTCGTGCAGCTGCGTAAGTTCTACTTACCTACGGCTTATAATGGGCATTTTCGATGGATGTATGCCTGAAAATGTATCACATGCTTGAGTATTTTTTTAATTTTTTGATTTTTTGATATCTAAAACTTAAAAAAAATATTTACAATGTACACAATTTTTTTCAAAAAACAACCTATGATATAAAAACAATTCCATAAAATAAACTTAGTAAAAATGTAAAAAATTCATCTATTACTAAAAATATACAAAGTAAAATATAATTTAACTATTTCTGTCATACCAAACAGATTTATGATGTTTAAACTGAAATTTGTATGACTAAAAGAAAAAAAATTTAAAAGTCATAAACAATTTAACCCTAATTTGTTACGACCTATGYGACGTGCTGAGAAAGTTCAATTTTACTATTCGACTTTATGGAATTATCAGTATAACAACGCACTGATTTCCTACTAACCATTTTTATATTTCCTCAGTTTTACTACTAGCATTAGATATACCATATTATTATATATTTAAATTATATTTACGCGTATTCTTCATTACAAATCCATAAATAGTGATTTCGATAAATTATTTTTCGATTTTACGTTTCAAAGATGAGACAATAATCATTACTTTGATGGGTAATTGGCATCATTCATTTACAAAACGTTATACATTATTTATAATAACAGGAACTAGCAAATACAATTACAATTATTAAAGTCAGCAAAATTCCAGATATTTATATCACAATAATTTACAAGTAACAGTTGTGTTCAGTTACTTGGAGTTGGAACTATGGCTACCCGTGGCGATTTCTTTGTCTTTGCTGTTTCTCATTTTCCTTGATACCCATTATTAGCGAAATGTACTGCTCTATTRCATACCAATTTTTCCAGCTATAAAGCATAGCATATAAGGTGCGACCTAAGGATAATTATGCGATGAAATAAATCACGCATGCGCATATAGAATCGAACACCTAAATCAGAGACTTGTCGCTAATATCGGCTTCAAAATAATACGCTGTAGCTCCATCCATAGTATATGATCTAAGAGTGAAACAGTAACTTCAAATTCACAACACTACCGTAATTAAATAATACCTTCCTACGATTTTATAATTTTTAAGGGCATTATCTGTAATTTACTCTATATATATTATGATTAAAATTTAATTTAATATTTATAACCTATACCTTTTATAAATTTAACCTGTCACGTCATCTCAAATTGGTTGTTTCTTTATCTGCCTTTTTAAATGTTCTCATAATATTGTTTCTATATTATCTTGTTTGATTTTAATAAATATGACATGTATACGGTATCATGTATGTAATATCTCTAATATCTCAGGATTTCAGAAAGTTGACCTAGGAAATATGTACCTAAATATTCAATATTCCTAAAAGTTAGMCCAAAGAGTAGTAATCAACAAAAAGTATAATAGGTATATTTTGAAACTTTCAAATTTTTTTTCTATTTTTAACATTTTCAAAAAAAGTGTTTTTTTGAAGATAAATGGGTCTTTGTTCGATTCTAGATGATTATCCATATTGCAATTTAAAATAAACAAAAGRCCTCTAAAAATAAATAGGTAGGGAACAAATATTTTAAATCATCGTGTTAGGTATTTATTGTATCCGATGGTAGCCTATGACATGATAAATAATAATATGTTAATAATAAATAGGTACTATAGTGATATTATAATAATATATTAGATATTTGAAAAGCATTAAAGCTTAGTTTTCTCAAACACTATAATATCTAAATTGTCATTTAGTGTTACGTAATTAGTCGAAAATATTGACTTAAAAATTTAGAAATTCTCGTGCATAGACCACCTCCGCTTTTTTTATTTACAATATATCAATTTAAAATAATCATCGTGGCCTATGTTTTATTAAACTCTTATAATAACTACCTTATTAAGTAACCAGTTAATACTAAATTACATAAATCAATAGGTATAGGAGTATTATATTCCAGTCCCTAATTAACGAATTTACGAAAAAAAATATTAGTTATCATCCTTGAACTAAGCTACCTATGAAATGTAATGTGTCGTATAGTTTTAATTATTTATTATATTGGTTTTTATTATTATTGATTAGAGATTACCAACCTTATGTATGGAATCAATTGTGAGGATATAATAGGTATTGTTACTTAATTGRTGGAATAGAAAATGCACTAACCAACTAATGTCGTTGATAAAAAACAATGTTATATTCTTGTTCCATGTACCTAAAATGTAAAAATATTAAGAATACCTATAAGAAAGTTTTAAAAAAAACTAGATTGTTCGTTATATAGTAGAGTTTTTGTACAGACAAAATTGTTAATCTATGACGTGCTATAAATAAAATATCTATAATATCTACTAATAGTTCTAATTCTAATCAACATATTATCATGTTATTTATACGCAATAATAGTTTTGTTAGCTAACTTATTGTAGATAATTGACTAGATAGGAAAATGTATTATTCATTTACTATGTAAATACATTTAAAATGTAGTTCCCAAAATCTAAGCTCAAAATTGATCGCGAAGCGACAATTTTATTTTATATTTATAGCTTAAACAACTTATTTTCCTAAGTACCTATTTTATATTGGTATTTTAATAGAATATAAACGACGATAATAATTAAATTTAATACCAAGTAATATCTTTTTATTAATCAATAACAATATTATTTATACTAACTTATATGATAACCAAAACGAACGTCTTCGTGCACTTTAATGAAGCATCGTCTGAAATAGCATTAATTTTTTATTAACCTAATTTTATATAATAATAAAATAATTGTTTAAAGTATGTATTTAATTGATAAATTTAATTTCACACAAGTATTTACATTTTACTATCATGATCAATGTAGTAATGTACACTTGATTACTTAGTAATATATAAGATATTTTAATACAAACTTTAATCTATTGACAAAATGTGAATTTTTAGAACAATTGAATTCCATTCAAATATATTTGTATACTTTCTACCTATTTCCATTTTATAGACGTGTATTATTTTAAATATTAAACCATTTCTATTACTTTTGTGTATTCCAAAAATATATACATTTTGTCAAATTTTTACATCAACATGACATCATTATTTAATGGTTCAGATRTATCGTATTTGTGTTGAAATAATTATAATCAATTAGGTGAAACTTTCTATTTGAAATAATTATATGTTTTTTATCAATCATTTATTTAATACTAAATTTTAACTAAAAAGAATTTTTTTATTTATTTTGTGGTTTTATTATTGTATAGGTACACTACTATTATACATTCAAAAAATTGAAATTAATAATTTTTAATAATGAGTTACAATACATTTTGAAACAACTATAAAATAACCCATGGGTCTCGATCTATTTAAATATTTTTAATACATTGCATTGTATACATTTATTATGCATACCTTATTGTGAAAATGGGTATGTTCAATAATCAAACAATGCGTGTCTTTAAAATAATTTTAATGATAAAAAGTATTTTACTTATTTTATTCTTCCGAATCATATCGTATTTGTAATTTTATAACTATTAAAAAAAAAAAAAAAAAAAACCAATAAAGCTTAAATCATCAGTGAATTTAATTTAATTCAATTGCTTGTTTATAAATTAAAACTATCAAAATTATTATTATATGAATAATGAATATAGGGAAAATTGAAAATATGATAGGATATTTGCTTTCATAATAATTTTTTCTGTTAAATTAAATAGTGTTAGTTTTTTTTCTCAATATTTTGTTTAATTATATTATTATGATGTTGTATGTCCATTCCATATTAATGGTATAACAGAACCAAGTCCTCCTCCTATTCCAAAAATAAATAAACAAAAATCCTCTTTTATTATCAACTTTTTAAAAACAATTTAAAATGTAACCTGCAAATGATACGTTAAATCTATCATCAACTAAATAAATAAAAATAAATGTTATCAGTTAGACAGATTTTAGGTTTGGCCCTATCTTATAGAAATACACGCAGTTATTAGTTGTAAGATTCCTGTATTTAAGTAAATTTAATATATCCGACAG